TTTATTATTATCTATATATTCTACCTTGTCGTAGAACTGATTGAATAGATTCGTGATATTTAGGTAATAGCTTATAGTTAATTTAAATATTTTTTAAATGTAATTGCGTAGGTATATATATAGTAAAATTTATAGTTTTTAATTCACCACGAATAATTTTTTGAATTACAGTGAAATAATAAAGACATTTATACTTAAATTAATTAATCATCTAATTTCTAAGTTCTAGTGAAATTTCACAAAAAWATATGTTAAAAGCTCTCTGAAAACTAATTTTAGATAATTATGATTAAGTAGATATACCTACGTATATACTATTTGGGCTTAAGTTTCAAATGTTAGACAACTTCATAAAATATTTTGTTATTATTGGTAATGATTTATAAATTATGCGCCAGCTTTGATTGCAGTAGTCATACGAAAAAGAAATAAAATACAGCACGAAGTACGAAAACAGATAGGTACCATCACAAGAGTAATAGAGAATACGATGAACTACGAAGACGGAACTGCGGAAGGAACAAAACGCGTGATGGTTCGTATCTTGTTTCAATAGGGGTGAATCGCGTATTATCGTACACTCTGGCCGCGTCCAAAATTGGATCAAGGTTTATTGTATACCATCCAACATTTTGTTAGATATTATTGTAATAATGGACACTAACAGCCACATTTTCAGGTATTTGTATCATTATAACTATCACCATAATATAGATGCATTTACTTGGCACCTCCACTTCCGCATTTTGGAACTGAACTCGGGGCTTTCGATTGATCTTCTTTATTCCATCGTCGTATYCGACTTATAAACAATTTAAGGTGGAAACTGGAAGTGCCAGTGAAATTAACTCCCATGATATAATATTATGATTATTTAACTATAGAARTAGTCTAAAACATAATATTATCTTTCGTAACGTATAAGACTYTTATAACAGTTATAACTATACATATACTAATATTGAAGAATATATTCTACCTAAGTTATAACTTATAAGTAACTTAACATTGTTGTTTCTAGTTTTCTACTAATGATTGTATTTTTATAGGTACAAGGTTTTGTATTGGCCAAAATGTCACTTACTCTCTTCTAACTACAAAGATTCCAATATAATAAACTATTGCCAATACTTCTATACTAGTAAAATTCTATAAGAAATGTCGACGTTATAATAATTATTAATAAAAATTAATAATTCGTAATTATTATACGACACTCTAAATCAATCCAAAAATTCGTTGGTATGCCTATATAAAAATATAATGGAAAATTGGTTGTTCAACATCAGTGGTGGATATGAGGGGGGTGATTAGTCGATCTCCCTTGATCTAACCTTGATCGGTGGCGTAAATTGCCAAAGTCATAATACTGATAATAGTTTTCGATGAGTGCAGGCGTAAAATGCAAAATTACATGATTTTTTTTATATTTTGGTGCGGACTAGATGTGTATTTATACCTATATTTAGGTGGTGAAAATTACAATCGCTAAAGTTGACACAAAATATACCATCTATCTGTTATTGGTCACGTTACCTATTTGGTATTCTAGGACAAGCGTTCGGACACTTGGCGTACAAGTTTCTCGCTGGCGGTGTTATAGACGACAAGTAGGTATAAAACTATAAAATAATAATACTATTGCGAGTATTACGACCGCATCGTCAACGTCATTGGAAGCGCCACGTGAATGAGAGGTTGTTTTCAAAACGATAAAAGATATAATATATTATTATATTATATACGTACCGCGATCGGCGTCGATCTGCAGCGCCTCCGGGCCGGCGGAGCGCTACGCAACGCAACAAATTACCGCAGACCTATTTTATTGCGCGAGACAATTTCATAAATAATAATACATTTTATTTTATTAAAACGCAATTGACATAGCGACAAGCTCAATATCTGTACACTATTTACGTTTTTTTTTTACTCTCATATACCTAAGTATAGTCACGCATCTCATTATAATATTATATATATATGATATAATAAAATAAATAACTAAATATGTTGGTATATATTACAATAACAGTGTCATCCATTGTAATCGTGATGCAWTATAAAACAATATTATAATACAATATTTAATATTAAACAGAGTTACAAATATTACACTATTAAAATACCAAACGCGTATATTACTATATGTATATGATGGCGATGATGCAAATGTATATTATAATATTAGTATAATTATTAACTTTTTATAATTACACTATAGTTGTAGTGTTGTACAACTGAGTACTTGTTTAAAAATATTAAATAATATGAATTTAGTATAAACGTTTATGGCTTATGGTTTTATGCAATAAATTTGTGATTGTATGCTACGGAAAATTACGTTATGTYAGAGTTATTTACTGGTCTTTGACGTGTTGTTTGCCTATAAATGTGGGAATTATCGTGATTTCTTAATGAATCACTAAAATTATTTTGTTCCCATGTTAGTTAAAAATAAATAAGGTGTTACAATTTTTATTCCTAAGATAATATTTAATTTTTATTTTCAATTCAAAATTCCTCATAAGTCATACTTTCAAACACCTAAAATATCAATTTTTTTTTAACATTTCCAATATATTTAGATTGATTTCAAGCTATTGACTACTTATATTACGAATTTAACCTATTCACACCGTTATACTGTAAGTCGATCGCTATTGACGAAAAAATAGAAATAGGAAATTGCAATAACAATATATGATATRCAATTTAAAGTTATAAGTTTTTATAACTAAATTGGATATTTAAATCATAAATGTTGTAATAAAAAATATATAGRTACTACTCAAACTTTCGTAGGGACTTTCATCATCACAGATATTATTATTCACAATAAACAATAAAATTTTCATAATGCTTGAACCAATTTCAAGCTATTTATTTGATGAACCATATTTGATACGTACACAGGTACACTGTAGAAACTAATATTATTATTATTATATAATGTATGCTATTTATAGTTGGAAAAAGTATGTCCAATCAATATCGTAATACCATACTAAAATGATTATTAATAAATACATACAAAAATGTCTTTAGAAATATAGTCTGACAATAATGATATCTAACTGACTTCAAATCTAACATAATATATTATTCGTTTTTTTTTTGTTTAGAATCAACGACATAGGTAACTTTTTTCACAGTGCAAAACATCACAAAAACTATAATTATAGTTCTTGTGTATTCGTTATTTTTTAGACATTTTTATTTACTAATTGACTTATTATATTTACGATAGGGTAAAATCTATGAACTATTATAATATATTATTTTTATCATGATGTGAAGTTCGACGATTAGAATACTTACATGAAAATTATTATTGTTATTTTTAAATGWAGCACTAACACTATATATAAACAATAAGCATACATTTTATTAAAATTTACCTTCCTACTTCATTTATTTTATTATATTATATTTTTCAACAATAATGTTTATAATCAAATTTATTGCTTCATTAATGCGAGAACCATTATGCAAGTGTATATATAAARATGTCGTAGTTTCTCGGAAGCGTATACTTATTTCAATAATATTATAATATACAACCGGATACAGTGGTAAAATTTACCGAACGGCAACGGTGGAATTCGTGGACGACAAACTCGCGACATATTTTTCCTGTTGGRACCACGTGGAATAATAATACATATTATACCTAATTTGATCATACAGGTGCATTAAACCGTATATTATACAATTTWACGAGTCTTACGAACCGCGTTATTTAATATCGATAATATTATGCATAATACGCGCGGTAGTCTTGCCGCCTCCAGGTCTGCRGTCGTGTGTGTGTCATATTATGACTTATCGACCGTGCGTATATTACATATCGGTAGTCTTTCAAGTGTTTGGTAAAGAATTTTGAACTTTGGCCGCTTACCCGCACGTTTACGCACTACCCGTTTCCACATAACAGACGTCGTCGTGAAAGAAAGAAAGAAATATATGAAAAAAAAATTAAACGTTTCGATGCAGCAGACGAGATAAATATCGCTAGGCGAGAAAGCAGTGTGCTGTCCTATTAATAATGATGTATATATATATAGTATAATATACATTGGCGTCAGGTGTATGTTTTGATATTATTTCACAACCGGAGAAAAAAGAATCAAAAAATAATAATAAATAATGAGCTGCACCACTATGGCACTAACCTAGCTATAACCGCGTAGAGCGCCAGCCGGCAGACGAGTAGGGTTTTGCGGCGCTGTCAATGGTAGGGATCTTCTGGGAGCACGACGACCGAATAAAGCCGTTCCTAAGCCACTGTCCCAGCTGAGTCTGCGAACGTCACAACGCCAGCCAGCTAGCCAGCCACAAGTAGTCCATATATTATGTCATTATAGTATAATATTCAGTTAAAACATACGCGCATACAATAAAATAAAAATATATTATTATTATTATTGTTATAACCTAGCTATTGTCGTTCGCGCCGATTAACGTTGTTAGGTATTCGATAACCTTAGAATATTATTATTTACGCAAATTGTAATAATAATATTATTATCGTGTATCACTGTCGTCGCCATCATTTTCGTTTTCTATTATTACATCACGCACCGTTTGTGCATTTCGAATTTCGCGGGTTTTGAGGGTTTTTTTTCTCGAAACGATTGATTTTGATTCTTTCATAAACCAAAAATTCTACCCGAAAAACCATACATCTAAATCCCTCAGTCGTGTACCACCTATACCTGTGTCGATTACTGCTCAATTATGATCGACTACTTGCGGACAATTTTCGTCGTGGCCGTCGCCATGGTGTACGTCCAGGCGGAAAAATCAAAAGTCATACGTAAGTCTAATATTAGTACACATTTTGTTTTTAAATTGTATTTTGGTTTGCAAAAGTGATTCTCTATCGTGATCTAAGGGGCGCGTTGTTTTTACTTTTCTGCACAAAAACCTGTTTTTGTCGACTGCACGCTGACGGATCAGTGAGAGTGGAAAAACGACGACGACAAGTGGGTCATATTATTATATTTGCTCGTTACATAGCGTCAACACATCACCCATRAGTGTAAAATGTGGTACAAACGTCACTCGCAGATATGATTGAAAATGTATTTATTGCACTTTTCAGTTTTTAACCATTTATCAGCATGGGTTGTTGTATACGATTTTGAAAATGTATTATATTTTTCGATTTGTTCAAACCACGCCAGATTGGTAACAAGTCCTAAACACACAGTTTTGATTGACTATAATAGTATTACACGTCATAAATTAAAACATTATATAATATTATGTATTTATTATACCCCTGTAAACCAGATACTGTTCAATCTTWAAAGTAGACAAATTGCTGGTGTTTGTAGAGTGTACTCCATGCAATGTGTAAAGTGTAAACATAATAAACTAATCAATACTTAACACGTTCAACGCGTTTACACATGTYGTCATTTCTAAATTGTTTGAGTAACGTCGCCGACCGATTTAAAAAAACCAACAAACTAGTTTTCTATGTTTGTTCTCTATGGCCACCTTTGATTTTAGATAATATAAAAGSAGTGAAAAAGACATTGAATTAGATAAAAAAAATGTTAGACGACGTCGAAATGTATTAGAAACTAAAGCGTAAACGCGTCAGTGGCACAATCCTAGAATCTTCCTAAAACGCGTAAACACGTCGTGTTGCAGAATGTGTTAAAGTTAATTATTAACAAGTATATTGTACGTATAATTTAAACAATAGAAAATTGTATAAAATATTATACATKAACTATGTKATTTCCATTTCTAAGATTATYGRTATAAAATTAAAATTAAATTATAGTAAAAAAACCATTATTCGTTAATATTATTACCTACGTGTTGTATAGATCGTTGCAATGCGCAAATTATTATTACAAATTAAAATTCCTTATTTTAGATTAACTGCATTCTGCGTGTTAAATATAACTCCGACACCACAAAATTCTATGTTACTACAGGGTATAGATATTTTTCTTTATTGACTGTATTCCAAAACTAAAGCATATCTGTGCACGTTAGCGTATTATACGGCCTTACGGGTTATTTGTCATGGATTGATATGACAATATAATGCTATCATTATTATGCATTATTAAATAGTTTTTTTTTTTTTTTACCGAATGTCTCGTATATACTATTTATCTTGGTTTAGTACTATATTTTTCAAAGTTTCGTACGGTTTCAAAGCTGTACAAACAATATTACAGTCCCTAGGTACAATCTGCAGTTTGCAAGCTGCAGTAGGTAATAATAGTTCTTAAAGATTAGCCACAACATTACACACGATCCGTATTAATTATTACGATTATTAAAATTTAAAGAGAAAGAATAAGTTTTAATCGAAATTCGTTATTATTATCATCACGTGTCCGAAAATTGTTATGCGTGACATGTGCAATTATTATCAATTATTAAAGCCACAATTTTTTAGACGTTTACCAATCTGCGCATTAATAATAATTATAAATACCTACACCAAATAACACATTAAAAATGTTGTGTTAGGACGACTGTATAGGTATTTTTTATATCGTATTTTGTATAGTTTTCAAATGTGTACACAGCAGTGCACCTACATTTTTGTATAATAATACGGCGTGTTAGTTGCAGATAGGTATTTATCTCAATTCMTGCTACCTATTTATGTGTAAATATTTGATAAAATATTAAATTTCCGATTTTTCAATCGTATTTCACTGTATATGGCGTGTGTATATAGTATTTACTATGTTTATCTTGGTTTAATTTATACTTTTTTGTACATAGTTTCATAGTATTACGATTCACAATCTTTGCGTACAGAGGGTAATAACTCCCGTGCAGGATTAGCCGCGAGTCGCAATTGATAGTATAATATTACGATCTTACGACGACTTCACAGATGACCGATAAAAACGTGTTGCATCAACGTTATATACATATGTGTATTGGTTTATGTATATGTACTATAATAGTATAATATTAATAATATTCCATAATACATACCATACATATCAATTATAAAATATTTTGTAACATGTTTTGTAAACAGTTTTATGTAAAACCGTAGTAATATATATAAACGCTAAAGTTCAGTGTAATTAATTAGGTCGTTATTGGTACGACTAAAGTATTATATAAGACCGTAACAGCGCAACTATAGGCTATATAATATCAGTTGCACATTTTATGAATAAGGTGCAACTTTTTACATTTACCGTAATTCATAAACCATAGTAAATATGTGTATATGTGTTCAACACATATATTATGGAAATACCTATAGGAATATACCTATGATGCATAATATCGTTTTCCTAGTTTTTTTTTTTTTTTTGACCATTAGGTGCAGTATTGCACTTTATAATCAGATAGAAATCACACAGTAAACTTCCTCCTATATATAGAGACCATTTGAGAGTCTATGCCCAATCTACGTCTGTATTATGCGCCATGATCGTTTTTCACGTTTAGTTTTTCAATTCTGTTTCACAACGTTTTCCATAATATCCCATCGGTGAAAAAATAATAAATAATAAATGGATCGAATGTGGAACCGGTCGCGTGTTCGAATCGACCTGATTGAATTGCCGCGGAGGACCGGTACTGCCGTCGTCGGTACAGACCCAGTCGGCGTTGCATCATTGCCGAGACTCGCCTAGATGCATGCAGCCAACGACCCGGTGCTCGACCCGAAGTTGGCCAATAGCCCCTAATCACGACAACAACGTTTTCAAATGGATTATATTATTATTATCATTATTATTATTGTTTTGAATACCGTCACGCTATATTATATTATGGGCAGGTCATATCGTAGGTACGCTGCGACATTATTACTCCACTGCGCCAGTTCGACAATTATTTGTATCTAATGATTTTTGATCCCGCCGAAGATGCAGCTGGTAACGGATATCGTATTAACATGCATACAAGGTGGTTCACTACTCGTCACGTTMATTTTGCCATACATTTATCTAAATTCTGATTTTTTGAATTCTTTTAATTATAGTTACCTATACTCAAAGACCATACAATTTTCTAATAATTTTATTGCAAGACGATACTAATTAATTATTATCATGTATATATATATATATATATATATACTTATTTAAATACTACGCTTTTTTACTGTTAATATTTTGAAAATATCCACGAAACTAAACCGAAATTCATACAATAAAAGTTTCCGAGTTTTTTTTATACTTTACAYTTAATTTATTATAACGATAAATAATAAACTATGATATGATATAATTGATGGTCTAGTATAGTATAATATGGAAGAATATTAAGAGAATTTATAAGCTAGGTACCTGGTAATTATCGCTTGTCAAATCAAAATCATTTTACAATAAATTTATAAAAATTGGTCATGTGTAGGTAATCATTAATTCCCAAGAAGTATAGACGTCTGTCTATAGATTAGACTAGATAGCAAATACTACATACTTTATTATATTCAATATGTATCACGATGACGCATGAAAAACCCAAGCATTTGATATAAAAAAAAATCCGAAAAATTCGAATACGAGTACCTAACCTATTAGATATAGTAAAAGGATAKCATTTGGACTGTACCTACTTGGCGAATGTACACTCTGTACTTAATACACTTACCACTCGGTATAGTATATAGGTATAGTGTGATATATAATAATATTATCCCGAAGTATTCCTGTCCGCGTAACGATGGGGGAAATAATATTATCGTAAAACTTGTGAAACCAGAAAAAAAAAGACGTTTGGTGAAGAAACTCGTCGTGCACAATTAATGTACGGTATGTTTATAATGTAGGTACCTAAGTATAATATATTATATTATCATACTACGCGTTGACGTTTTATGCAATATCGCATGCACTCCGATGATAATAATATTATTGTATCGGCGGTGGTGTACTTACAACAATGATGTGCACGTATGTCACGGGATATCGAAAACTACTATGACGTGCACGCACGCAATGTGAAGGCCGTCAGTGTTTATGTATAACTATGAGAATAATAATATAATAATCATAAGATGTGTCGCTCTTCGCAGTTCGTATGTACTTTTTCAAAACTATTATTTTCTCATTAAAACTTTCATCCTCCGTCCAAAACTCCCAGCGCCACGGATGTCGTGTAATAGACGGTACTTATGTCTATAATATTACAGCCCAATATTATGATGACGACCACGTTTCATTTTATTCATTTCAAATTATATTTCCCAAGTACGAGAATATTATAATCAATCGAACATGAACATGAACAAATTACAAATTGGTTTAGTTGTAATCGTTGGTTTGCACTGAAAAACTATTTATTTTCTCCTTCAGAACCTACATAATATATGTTATTAAATCGTTTTTTTGTTTTTGAAAACAATATTATTAGGTATTGGTTTTTTAAAATTAATCCTTGAACGATTAAAAAAATAAACATCTTATTGTGTATTTCAATGATATACTTGATAGTTGGCACAATGCAAATTTTACATTTAAACTCGAAATTCCTTACAATATATTACAATTCAGACAACACAATACCATTCATACGTCATATAGATGTAATAATAAAGGACAAGGTTGTTTAAAATTTACTTTAGTATTATGATATTATTCAACCAATCAAATTCAGATAGTTTGGTTTATTATGCATGTATTATAATAGACAATAGTTATCTTATGCTTAATCTCAATTATTACATTTTTAAAAATATTTTATTAGTCTCTAAATCTTTATAATAATATGTTGTAATAAAAGGAGGAGTAAGATAAAAATTCATTATTTATAATTCCACATTAAAGTGTCGTTACTTATTATAATAAATTTAAATATATATTTTATAAGTAAAAATACAATTTAATTTGTYATACAAATAATATTAGTGTTTATATAATATGTAAATACTGTATCCTTAAAAACCTTACACTCCTTGTATGCAATGGCCATAGGCGCCGAAGCTTATTTATTTAAATACTAAAAAAAAGAAACAATATTAGTAGATATCATTCATACCAAATTCTCTTGGAAATCGTTACCTTTAATAATATTCATAAAAATTAAAAAATAACACCTATAATATATTTTTATTTAAAATAAAACAATTTGTAATTTATTGCTAATGATCTACTGATATCATAAGATCAGTTTTAAATTTCTTCTCTAATTACTATACATGAAATATAATGTGTATTATTGATGTATTATATATTATATATTGATCTTGAATCTTGACCATGCTTATATTATTGTTTATGTAGCTTTTTTTTATTACCTTGATCAGAAATAGGTACTTACCTAAGAATAAAAAAAACTTTAAACGTTTTATCTCATAAGTTATAAGAAATAACAATGTATTAATTTCCTATCAAAATATTAATATTTATTTTATTATTTTGGATTCGAGTTGAAGTTTTTTTTTTTTTTCATTGATCAAAGTGCATCGACATCTAAGCCATTAGTAAATGACATTTTTTTTTTGTTACATTTTTAGTATTTTAAGTATACATTTTCTACATTGAATTAAATTGTACAATCCTGTTTTTTTTTAAGAACAAAATTAAGTTTTTTACATCTTGTAAGTTTGGTCCAAGTGCTTTGAAGTTTTTTGTTTCCCCTGTGAGCATGAGTTATGTCTTAAAGCTTATCCAATTTACTATTTTTGATCGTTTTTGAATTCTGTACAATTAAATAAATACGAGTTTTTTGTAAAAAGCACGTTTGGTTGTAACTTGTAACATTTTATTCCTGTTTGATGTCATTGTCCGTTTTGCAGATAATGTTATCCAAGTCATATAGGTACTCGGTGAATGTATTATTTTCTATTACTATAAATGTACGGCCCGTAGAGTACGGGACCTATGTTATTATTGATTCATAGTTTATATAAATATAATATATAAAGTAGTTATTAAAAAATTCTTTTACACGCTCACTACCTATATACGACCTATTTAACATTGTGAATAAATTTGCGATATCGTAAAAAGTGAAATTAAAAATAAATTAAATGCGAATACGGGTTTTCCGTGCTTAATTCTGTGTTACTTTGTTATGCGGATGGGTATAAAACATAAAAAGTAGCAAATGTCTGAAAAATTTAACGCAAAAATAAATAATAATCATTAGTTATTAGTTATTACTCGGGCGTCTCTCGTTTCAAAATGTTGATGTTGATGTCACAACAACATATTGTTCTCCTTTGTTATTGTAAGTCGTGTTACAGTCATTATGGTCGAGGGGCACGATGGGTATCATATTATAATGCGCATACCTTATACCTACTTCTATATACAATCGTTGATTATTATAAAATATTAGAGTAGTTTATAAGACGATGTTAACGATCATAAAAATCGGTTTAAAAAATATTTRAACGTGTTTATAATGTTTTACAGCGCCCTACATAAAACAATGCATAAGAAACGACCCAAAGCTCAATGAATGTCTCGCAGCGGAAATCAATCATTTAAGACCGTACTTGAGAGAAGGTAAGTGACAATATCTGAAATGTCTGTACTATATTATATCCAGGGTCAAATTTAGGGGGGAAGGTATTTGGGGGTACTGAAGCACCCACTGTTCCGCGTATTATTAATTTATTATTATTATTGAAAATCAGGTATAATTTTTGGTACGGCCGGAGGCAGTAAGGTAGTAATTTTGAGGTAGGTACACTGGTTTTACACGATTTAAATAAAGTATAAATGATAGGTATATAAACAGTTACAATATAAAATTATTATTTAATTTTTTGATACAATTTGTGTCTTAATCAAAAATTATAAGTCGAACACTTTATTTAATACTTCCAAAATAAACGCTCATCGCAAGACTGATTTTTTTAGCCGCTTAAGCTTCAAACTATTAATTTTTTTCCACAATAACTAATAAGTACCTTARGACCATTACGCACAAACTAGCACCCACCATAAAAAATTTCCTAGATCCACCTCTGTTTATACCTACRTTTTCACGATATACTCCAATACACAAATTACACGTGTGTTAAATCACACAACATTATAATTTAATTTTAATTTTTTATTAATCAACCCACGATAAGGCCATTAAGCCATTGGGTGTGGAGAGGGTACTATGGATTTTATTTTGGGTTGGTTTGATGGCTACAGCCTATTTGCGCCCCAGAATAGTACATTTGCGCCCCGAGGGATATAGTCAGATGCTCCCGAAAGATAAGGTACTACCTGCCGATTTATAGCCCATATGCGCCCATTTGGTATGCAACTTTGCCGTTGTGATTCATATTATTATAGATTATATTCTTTATCTTGATAAATACTTAAATTAATTAGATTACCTAGTAGATTACATTATAATCTAATAATTGTGTAGTTTTAAAATTTAAACTATATTACTTAAAAAATTATGAGTACTTTAATAATTATTMTATAATCGTCTTTAATAATATAATTCAAATTTTGTAATTTCTTCAACATTTTGGGTTTAAAAAAAATTAGTCAATATAACAATAACTAACATTAAATTTAGGAATTCTAAGTTAAACAACACTTAATTAATTCAAATCGTCATGATGAAGTCCAATTAAGATAAAATGGACTGATATTCGATAATATCGATAAGAGTGTAACATGAAAATTAAAAATAGTTAAAACGGGAAAAATAATATGTACAATAGTTTTAATTTCATAAGGTAATAAGCAGTATTGCTTGGTATTCCAGAATACAGTTTTGCAACGTCGCACGGGTTTAACACATTTTCATTAAAAATATTTCGKGCGCAAATGGGTTATGATTTCGGGCGCAAGTGGGTTATTAAAAAGGTGTGATGGGCGCAAATGGTTTGCACCGGGTTTGATACACGTGTGTGGTAAGAATTTTCGGCAGAATTTTGGATTGGGCACCCGTAGGTTTCTACCATGCCCGGTTGGGGGATGACGGTACAACATTATAATATTGCGTTGACGACACTCGGTAATACATTAATTGTACGCGTATTGTTTGTACTGTGATTACTATATTATAATGTACCTATATCTCATAATTATTTTTATTATGGATTTAATTAAATTGGCCGCCGTATTGGGCCCTGGAGACGATACGGGTCATCCACACTTGGTTCGATCATACCAATCATTATGACATAACGCGAGAAATGCGGTCAATGTCACGTCTGACTACAACAATTACTGCCGCCGTAGCGGTACTGCGCTCTGGGAGYTGTTATCAAATTATTATTATTATATTACTATAATTTTTGAAAAACAACGTTTATTTTCCTTCTGAAATTTTAATAAYAGCACGTAACTATCTGATAAATACATATAATTAATTGCGAGCTTTTCCGTTACCAAGGAAACAATATTGCTCGTCCTTATCAACCATAGAAATTAATTGTTTATATTAAAACCAAATCACACACGCAAGTAAGAAACGAATATAAATAACAACAGTGATTTTCATTTCAAAACTATAAACATAAATAAGCGGAAATCGTTCTTGCGTCTCAGTTGACATAACATTCCCAATGACTGGATAAAATACCCACTAGTTATAAACACTAAAGCAATAAGAACAACATTATATTATTGTTTTTTTTTTTTTAGATTCTGAGTGGAACGATGAATGTATTTATTTTACAATGATGGCGTGTATTTTTTTAAAACTATTTGATTACATTTTTTGTTTTTGTGACCGTCATCATGTTTTGGAGCAGTAAAAATGCTAAGCTTTTCAACTTCGATGTCTTTTGTGATAGGAAAACTATCTAAAGTAAAAATTCCTAGTAATTTTCTAAATAATAGAAAAAAACAAAAAAAATAAACAAATAAAAATGTTTAAAAATCAAAATAAGTATTTTACTCAACAAAATCGATTTTTTTATAACGGTAAGTTGTCATTGACTCAAAAGCCAATAACAATAATTAATGATATATTATTATACTATTATATTATATTATATTATATTATATTATATTATATTATTATATTATATTATATTATATTATATTATTATATTATATATTATTATATATATGATAATTAGCTACCTATTAGAATAATTAAAAATTTAATATTGGTAATTTAATAAAAGTAATAATTTTGGCTAAAATTAATTTAACTTACCGTTTAATTAATATTAAAAAAAAATTATTATAACAGAAATTTATATAATATATCATAAAAATATGTAAATTGGTACTAGGTAG